GACATCTTCTTGGCATCGAGTCGAGAAAAGTGTCGATGACAGACATCGGGATGGCCTGCCAGACATCTTGGAGTTGGTCGAACTTCTGGTTGGCATTCGAGGCACGGACCCCTCTAAGCTATCTCTTGACATGCTCCCAGAGGTGTTCGATCGGATTCAAGTCCGGAGATTGACTTGGCCAGTACAGAAGATCCACGTGGCGGCGTCGGAACCACTCCTTGATGTGCTTCGAGGTGTGCTTCGGGTCGTTATCCTGTTGGAAAACGAACGCCCGGCCCACAGTAGACCGTGCCCAGGGTCTCATTGTGTTTTTCGATATCTTTCAAAAGATATAGGCTCAAAGTGGACGGTCCGGGTGTCGTTCTATTAGAGGTTTTACGGTAATTTAAAAATTCAGATTATGCGGAGGTCTGCCACCTGAATTTGATCTACGAGACCCCGTATTTGTGTATGCTGTGCCAGTAGAACATGAATTTTTGTTCAACGAATATGATGGAAAATTCGAGTGGTCCATTAAACTGATTACTATATTTTTATACACGGTTCTAACGATTTTGATGCTTGTGAAATTGCGAATTATCTTGAGAAAACGAAACGAGATGAATTCAAATGTATCTGGGCCGGCTGATAATACAACACTACTGATTATAATTATCACTTGCACATTTTTGGTTTCGGAGGCTTTTACTGCAGTTGTCAGTGTTGTTCTAAATTTTATGGATGTGGGATTTAATCAGCCTATTGTTTGAAGTTTGTGAGTTTAGAACCCAAGTAAAAAAACAAAGTAGCGTCAAGGAACGAGAAACGCGCAAAGGCATAGAAAATGTGCCGAAGAACTAGAAAAAAGCCGCGAATCGAGTAAAGCACAAAAGCACGTTAATGCGTAAATGCACGGGAACTGCGCAAGGCACGAACAAGGCGCAAAAGCACGTGAAATGCGTCAAAGATACGAGATCATCGCCGAATCACGAGAAAAGCGCAATGGATGCGGTAAAACGTCAATGCACAAGAAAAGTGTCAATTACACGAATGCACTAGAAAAGCCCAAATGCACGGGGAAAACGTAAATTGACTGGAAAAAGCCAAAGAACGCGAAAAGTGTGAATACACGTTAAATGCATCAAGACACGAGAAAAACACAAATTCAAGGAAAATGTGTGAAGCCCGAGAAAAGCCAAAGCGCGAGAGTAACGCAAACGCATAAGAAAATCGCCAAGGCATGAGACTCGCGCTGGAGCACAAGAAACGCGCCAACAACTCCAAGGCACGAAACACGAAACATGCGCCAAGTAACCAAAAGTTGTTTTCCAGAAGAACCGAAGCCGTTCTCTCGCTAACTCGAGTTTTGAGAGTTTTCAACTCCTTATCCCATGCAATCGTTTGCTTTTTATCTCTTCGCAGTACAGGATTACTGTAAGAAATATATTTTTTAAAGTTTTCCGGAAAAATGACAATGTAAGTTATTTAAAAAATCGTTTAAAAAATTATATTTTACAGAGCATCCAAGTCGAATCTACAAATTCTACAAATTCTAGAAAGCAATAAAACTGTTACTTCTATTCATTAAGATTTTGAAGAAAAATTTAAGAAAAATAATGATGGAAAATTAAAAAAAAAATCAAAAAACAAAATTTCCACACTTTTCTCTTGTTCCAGGATATTTCCAGTCCATTTCATTTGTGAATCGTTCTTGAACCCTAAAAAATTTTAATTTTCCTTTTCAAAAATAATTGATTACTTGTCCCTAGCATAAGTGTATTGATGGTGAGCAATTGCATTTCCATAAACCGTATTATCCAGTTTTATGCCTTCCTGGACATTAAAAACATGAGAAATGACATGAAAATTATATCCAGCTCTGCATAATTTGTAAATTAAGGAGCACATGGTTTTCACACGCGATGGAACGTAGTCGGCACCCAATGGAGAGCTTCGATGGAGAATCGGTTGAGGTTCCCAGTCAGGATTACTGTAGAGAAAAGGATTACTTCAGTTTTGTAGAGAATCGTTGTGTTAGAGAAATGATTACTGTAATTTAAACATGATTACTGTAAATATCACAAGGATTACTATAACTTTGGCATGGATTACTGTATTTATTAAAAGGGGTAGTTATCAAAAAGACTACTTTACTTATTAAAATAGTTACTGTGAATATCAGAAGGATTACTGTAGTTTTTGAAAAGTATTACTGCAAATATATTAGAGATTACTGTAGTTCTTAAAAGGACTACTCTAGATATGAAAAGTATTATTACAGTTACTTGAAGAATTACAGTAATTATAATTTAGATTACTGAGAATAGCTGAAAAATTACTGCCTCTGTGAGAGATGGTACAACATAAGGAAGGTTACTGTAGTTAAGGAAAGGATTACTGTAGTTCATGGATGGGTTACGGTAGATATGAAAAGGGTTACTGCAGTTATTTGGAAGATTACAGTTGTGATTATTTTTCACTTACGAGTACGGTTCATTCCATGTGGTCACTGGTAAATTATCTTGAGATTGAGTGCGCCAAAATGTGAGATTTGGAATTTTGTGTCCTTTGAAAAAATATTTATGATGGAATTCGAATGTTCTGGAATAAAAAAATGAACTGCATTTGAGTAATTTTTTTAAAAAAATTTTCATTAATTATATGAGTTTTTCTAATATGTTTTTGGAAAATTTGTATTTTTGGGCTCGCTTTGCAGTTTTCAACGAATTTGAGACCTGAAACTTACATATTATTTCTCATAGACTCCTCTAAATCCTTAACGTTTCTTGGGATTACGGTACCCATTGCATTTTCAAATCTTCTAACTAAAATCACATTCTTCGATTTCCCATCCAACATTTTATTGGCGATTTTCTTAATTTTTTGATCCATTCCTTCACTAACAATCATATCAGAATCCATTACGAAATGTATATCAGATTTTGCTCCTTTTCTTGCAATATTTCTCATTAATCCAAACGGATAAAGCCCAAAGAAACTTGGAATTTCATCTCGATAGGATTTTTGATGGCTCAGAAATTCAAAGCACGAAATTTTAGAATTTTTGGATCTGAGCAATGAAGGACAACTTTTTTGAAATGCGGATTTCCGGAAGGCAACGTGGATGGTCATCTGGAAATTTTTTTTTTTGAAATTTCGAAAAAAAATTGACCTACTTTTCTTTGGAATTCATTATCACACTTGTGTAAATTTCTTAAATATTCTAGAGATTTTTGAGTTTTTTCATCTATAAATATTCCGACTGAAATTGGTGAATTCCACATTTTTGGCATATTTTCCAGAGTTTTCAGCATATCTGATGTGGCATGAGTGGCTAGAGTGATTGGTTCCAGACCATCCGATTCTCGGAATCTGAAAATCTGGAATTGCAGACACACAAAAAGAAATTTGGGTATTTTAAAGGTTCCAGAAAGTTAGAAGTGTGTGAATCACTTTTGTTTTTTTTTCTGAATTTCTGAATTTCTGAATTTCTGAATTTCTGAATTTCTGAATTTCTGAATTTCTGAATTTCTGAATTTCTGAATTTCTGAATTTGAAAACTCACGATTCTGTAGCTTCCAAATAGTTATAAGTAACACAATATTGATTTTCCAAAATCTCCGAAAAATAATATTCTCGTCCGAGAATATTCTGAAAATTCGTGGAATTTTTGCCTTTGATTACTGTCACTTACTTTCAGCAAAATTATGAAAAAAAATAAAATCAAAATATTTGAAAATATGAAAAATATTGCATATGGATTTTTCATCATCGAAAAAAACGATTTTTTCGAATTCGAAAATTTGGAAAAATTCGAGAAATTCAAAATCGTTCAAATTCATCGAAATTTCATTTTATACTGATCCGGGTGATTTTTTTCAGTACGAAAAATCGAAAATCGAGAAATCTGATGCATTTTATTTTTTCACTTTTATCTGCGTTTAAAATCTAATCTAAAAATCGAGTTCTGTAAAATGCATTCAATTTTCGGGAATTCTTTTTGTTTCAAAAAATTGTAAGAAAAAAAGAAAAAAAAAGTTACAGTTGTGTAATGCAAAATGTAGACTTCCTAATTAAAATTTCAAAACATTCATTCCATGACGTTTCTGCGACTTGATAATTCCTTCCAATGCTCGAACTTGCATAAACTTCTCGAACTGGTATAGTTTGGATTTTGGGTTCTAAAAACTTATAATAATTACATTCAAATATGTTTTCTTAGCTTCCAACTTTTTAAAATTCAAAATGGTTTTCACTGCGTTCCAATTAGGTTGATAAACCAAAAGAATCTCTGAACTCTCAATCAATCCGTTTAGTCCAAACAATATCATTCCCAAATTCATAAGGCCTTGATTGTAATTATCAGTCAAAACTTGAGCTATTAAGATAAGTGGAGGGATGATGATAGTTAATAATGGAATTGAAGTTTGAATGATGATTCCAATGAAAAAATGAGTGCAAATCATAAAATCAAATAAGGTAGAACTGAAAAATATGTGATTTTTTTCAATTTTTCAAACTCGAGATCCTACCAAAAATGATTGATTAACAATGGCCATTTTATAGTTTTCATAAACGAAGGTGTCTTTTCCAAATTAATATAAAAAGTGAATATTTGAATTGGAGCTGCTACAACTTGAATTATATGACCGGGATATGCTAATCCTTCCCACGTGACAAGGTAATTATCCGATAAATTGCATTTAGAATAGTTAGAGGAGTAATAACTTTGAAGATCAGGAATCATATGAAATCCGAAAAAGTAAGTTTGAAAAAAAAAAGATTTTAAACAAAACTGAAGAAGGATTTTTGGTTCTGGCTGGAAAGAAACAGGAGGTTTTTAATTTGCGTCAGCTCATCTCGAACTCAGTATAAACAGGTGAAACATTTATTGAACTTTCATGGAAAGAAATGCCAGGCAAAAAAGTTCGTTGCAAGCGTACATAGTAAATACACAGAATTCCTATTAGGTTGGCGGGAAAGTCTTTGTCACTCTGTTTGTTTAATCACTGTTCTCGTATATGGAGGCTGTGTATGATATCGACTCTAGTGAATAACAAGGTGATAAGAACCTTCCATATAAACAAGTCCCCATCTCCTTCCCTGCTCCTCATCTGTAATTGAAACGATATGTTTGTTCCCACTGCTATTCACATCAGACATGTTTTGATTTACCTCTTCCTATCTCACACCACGATGAAGGATTCGGAAACTTTCTTGAAGAATGTGTACAACACACATGCCCCTCACTACAATACTATTCGCAATTGGTTCCATCGTTTCGAAAAAGATGACTTCTCGCTCGATGAAAAGGATCGCTCTGGGAGACCCCGTGAGTTGGATTTGGACAAGCTGAAGCACGCATTGCAATCGGATCCATTTCAATCTAGCCGTGAACTAGCTGTCACATTCGGAGTTCACCATAGCACAGTCCTTGAAGGTTTGAAGTCTCTTGGAATGAGAAAACTTTTTGGTCGATTCATACCTCATCACCTGACTCAAGCCAACCTTGACCGCCGAGTCGACGATTCGATTACTCTTCTCACTCTCCACGCGGGCGATCGATGGCTGGACCGGCTAATAACCGGAGATGAGAAGTGGGTCTTCTACGATAATCACCACAGGAAATCCCAGTGGGTTGGAGAAGGAGAGAGCCCACAGGATGTCCCCAAACCCGACCTTCATCCGAAAAAAGTTATGCTCTCTGTGTGGTGGGGAGTGGACGGCCCCATCTACTGGGAACTTCTGCCCGAGGGCAAAACAATAACTGGAGACCTCTACACTACTCAACTACGAAACCTCAAGAAAGCAGTCGACCGTTCGGCCCTGAAAGACAAGAAAGTGTACTATCAACATGATAACGCTCGCCCACATGTTTCGAAACAAGTGAAGCAGGAGCTGATGGGATATGGATGGAATGTTCTCCCTCACCCCCCGTATTCTCCTGATCTTGCTCCTTCCGACTATTGGTTATTTGGCGATATGACACGTGCCTTCGAAGGAAGAAGCTTCAATTCCCGTGGAGCGGTCGAAGCGGCACTCAAACAATACTTTGCCTCACGCCCGGCTGGATTCTACCGCAATGGAATCCATAAATTGAGGGAACGTTGGAGACATGTTGTTGATAATGATGGACAATATAATTAATTATTCGGTTATTTTTTCTTTGAGAAATAAACTATTGAAAAAGTGACAAAGACTTTCCCGCCAACCTAATAATTACAATTTCAGAAGATTTATTTCATAACGTTTCTGCGACTTGATAATTCCTTCCAATACTAGAACTCTCACGAATTTCTCGAACCGGAAGTTAGTTTGGATTTTGAGTTCTGAAATTTTTTAATAATTAAGGTACTTATCCGATAAATTGCATTTAGTATAGTTAGTGAGATAGAAAAATTGACTTTGAGTAAAACTGAGAAATGACTTGATTGTTTTGTCTGAAAAACAGAGTTTCCAGAATAAATCGGGTGGTTTGATTTCGGGGTATTTCTGTTGCTAGGAGAAAACAGAAGTCGAGAAAAAAAAGAAGTGAAAACCTGATGTTGAGAGATTGGTTTTAGTTTTAGCTGTATTTGTAAGGCAGTTTTAAAGGCGGGGGGGGGGGGGGGGCAGGAGATTTTTCGTAGGTTTTTTGTAGCCAG